TAATAATAATAATAATGAATATAAAATAAAGTAGTATAACTACTGCTTGTCGAATAAAATAAAATTAAAATTGTTTCAAAAGAAACTCATCGACACAGTACAATTCAATATCCAATAAAAGGTTTTTTAGTCGGGTACAAAATGTTTCATCGTTTCTAACACTTTTCAGGTCTGTGGGTAGATGTTCGTAGAATCGGGGACATATTACCAGCGGATTTCTAGTTGCAAGTTCGGTACGGTGGGCAACGGAATTTGCCAACACTTTTTAGAATTGGCCAACACTTCTATTTTATTTCTTTTTTTTTAAGGTTTATAGCTTGGTTGCAAGATCTTTAGGCCAATTTAGCCAATCAGGAGGTTGGAGAGCGTTTGAGTAGTATTTTAATTAGCAAAAAATAAGATGTTCTTTTTTTAAACCCATTATGGTTTGTGGTATGGTACAAGGAATTAAAATTCACAGATTAAAGTACAGGAGTAGAAAAAAAATATTTGTACTGTATTGTATTGAATTTGGACACATAGGCTTGTAGGAAACCACCATTACAGTATCCACTTTGATACTTACAACAAAGACCTTGTCTATTCAGAGCTAAAGTTCATATTACTTTGTAAACTTGTCTTTGTGAATAAATGCATTATACACTTCTTATAATTAAACAATATAAATTATATCTATAATTGAATAGCCGCTAGAGCTATGTACTCTGTTGCCCTCAGTAGGTAAACCACAGAATCAGATGAAATGTTTGTTATTGGAAATCTATTATATCTTATCTATCTTATCTTATTTCCCATCTTTTTAGATTTAAATCGCGCTGACAGCAGTGATCATGGGATCTGTAAACAGACCGAAATGTTGGTTTCTGCAACTAATATTTGTATTATAGATCTGAAAACAGTTTGTTTTTGATAAGGCATGTCACACTTAGGTGTCAATGTAGGCCTTGTAACATCAATCCGTGCGGATTATTCAATACATCTGGGGGTGTTGTTTCATAGTAAGAGGCAAGACCTAACATCACTACACAGAGACACAGAGCAGAGTAAACAGTTTCATTACCAATAGGTAGCAATTAAAAAACCTTCCACGTTTATTATTACTATAAATATGTGTTATTATTTTTTTATTGTGGGCCACGTCAAGACGCCTTTGGCTCAGACACCTCGAAAGGATGCCAGCTCATAGGGCGGTGAAAAGGGCCTACATGGCACACCAAAGTGGTTGACGAACCGTCCATATCTTTCTACATAAGTTTTCTTTATACTGACCCTCCCTATCAACTTCTTGGTTATACGGGAAAGGCACTATAACCTGTGCGAGCAAGCCCGCGCAAGGACCATCTAAATCAGGACCTAAGCCCAGATCAGTCCGTTTACACGGACTTCATCCGGTTCATAAGGCTGGTGTCTTAGGTGACACGCTGAAAAAACAGTGTCTCTCCAGTTCCTAAATTCCTACGCGACTGGAGGGACTGGAGGATGTTTAGCTGATCCTTTACTAGTTCTCCGGGTTAATGCCGGAGATAGCAGTGTTAAAAGGCCCCGCGCGTCTCCTCGACTCAGGCCCTCGTCTACATCGCTACTAAGACGCACTAGATGCGCGCGGAAGGAAGCCCCGGCTACACACCACCGGGACAGACGAACATGTACATGTAACCACAAACCCCGGCGAGTCCATACCCTGTCCGGGTCCACCAAAGACGACCGTGAAGGCGAATCACTGGCGGAGGGCTTGACTTCTCGGGTCGGTAGATAGGGACCGTGGTTGATGAACAGTCCCATATCTTTCTACATAAGTTTTGTTTGTAGAGCCCCTCCCTATCAATCTCTTGATTATGCGGGAAGGGCACTATGAGCGCATAGGAACCGTCTAAGACAGGTCCTAACCCCAGATCAGCATGTTTGCACGGACTTCATCCGGTTAATCCGGTTAATCCGGCTGTGTTAGGTTATAGCCTTAGGTGAGCCGCCTCGAGTGCACATACAGCATCGTGCGTATGTAGTTAATGAACAGTTGGTCAGCCTACATATTGATGGAGGGATGAAGTGGCGCATACAGCGAACACTTCGGGTGAGCCAGTGGAGGAAGTAAGTAAATAAGTGCACGTCAAATGCAAACTACTTCAGTTTTGATTTTGTGTTATTTACGACCGGTAGGTTTATAAACAGCTTGAAGCAATATAAATTGATCTGATAGGCAGGGATGTCCTTGCATCTCACATCAAATTTCTAGCATTTACTTGCAGATGTAAGGGCGCCCGAATTAGGAGAAACATTCTTCTAAAGTCGCTCTCACGCAAATCGCGTCTTGTCGTGCTATCCCTACTGCCGTATACTAATTAAAACGTGGCTTAGTGACATGCGGTCAAATATCCGTTTTAAAAGCCTAAGATAGAGCTCAAAATACTCTATTTCAAAACAGTAAAAGATATATCGGAACTTACCCTAACAATGCTTAGCAAAATTATATTTAAGCAATTTCAATATTGTACAACTGGTTTATGGTTTTTATATGATATCTTAAAAATAATTTTAGTTTTAGTTAATGTGTGGCGGCCTACTGGTATTTGTAACATAGCTGCATTAAAACCACAAGTGTTAGTGATCACTTAAGTTGGAAGTGCTTTATCACACAAATGTCACAAAAATATTTTTTTTTACATATTTAGGAAAAGTAACTGCTAGGTATATAAAAAGTTACAAAAATAAATATTGATGGCCAATTACAAATTTCCACAGATAAGTAAGACAGATTCCACGGATAATACAAAGTACTTACTTGAAACAAAGTCTAGGGTATGCGGACAACAGCACATAAGTCGATATAATTGTAATCATATATTTTTTGTGTTGTTTGTAATGTTGGAAGATGCCAAGAGAAAAAGACACCACTAAAAATTAAGTTGCAAACTAATGAAGCAAAAAATTAATGTGACTCATGTGCTTTAGTTGGTAAATGTGTTAATTTAAATCATAGTTTCCAAGAGTGGTCCCCACCGCCCCCCAATTGGCGCTGAAGAGTTTGAGGGGGGCTCTCGGGGCTTTGGAAGCAATTGGGGGTTGTTGACGCTTTTTTTTTTTTCAAATGCCACCCGGAGGGTGCCACCACATTTGAAGAAAAAAATGTAATATCTAAATAAACTACACTACAATTTTTTTCCTTGTGATTTTTTTGTGTTAAGTTAATATAAAAAATAGGTGTTTTCATTAATTTTTTGTGGTAGTGGACTTTGAAACTTTTTATCTTGCCCAAGCCAAAAAATTTCCGAACTTATGATTTAAACGGTGTTGGTTTTTTACTTATGTACTTTAGTCCTCCAACCCTAGAATTATGTACATGTGAAGTTTTATAATACTCCCAATTTAAGCATAAAAAATAAAAAACTTATTGACTTATTTTATTCATAGACACTTTAGTCTGCCCTGAAAAGTATGGGAATTACTGTGTTAAAAGTTTACTAGAATGTGGTATACAGACTCTTTGCTTAGTTAGGTAAGCGGTTTTTTTAAAAGAAATACATACTCTATTTGAAATTCCGTCCTTACCAGTATCAACATATTTTATCGCCGCAGTTTCATAACAATAAGAAGAAAACTATCACCTATGCATGCAAATTTCACCTCTATCGCCTACACTATAAAGAAACACCAAGAACAGACAAAGAAAGTGAAGAAACTTCGCAAAAAAGACAATTTACTTATACGACTTTCAGAGACAAAATTTTATAACCAAATTAAACAAAATACTCACAGATATGTCTCAGATTAGTGGAAAGAACCGTCACGCGGGCAAAGGCCACTTTTACACAGGAAATTCATATGAAAACTGAATTAAAAATAAAATTCAAAAACACAAAATGTCTCACACTTACACCCACTTTCATTTAAGTCATATACACAATGTATATGTTTTATAGTCTATTTTATACACAATGGATAATTCCACAGTGAAATATGATAGCACAACCGACGTGTTAAGATTCTGAGTACAGAATGAATGTGCTTTTACACTACGAACTGTCAGAAAATTATTCATCATTTTAAAAATGTCATTTCGTCATCGTACTACGCTAATTTCCGCCAAAACTCACTATTTACACTTTTATTAACATATTTACAGTAAATGTTTAGGTCAACAACACTATTTTAATAGGTTTTCAGTTTAAATTCGTTGCGCAAAACGTATTTTGTGCGTGAAAAATCAGCTGTTTGTTTTTGAATCATCTGCCATTTTGATTTATTTCCATCTGTTTGTATTCTTCAATGTTTTTAGGATGTTTGGCTTGGATACAAGTGCTTTGAGCCAGGTCTTCATTTAACTTCAAGCTTATCATTAAATATTTTCTACTGAGTTTTTAATGTACTTATAGAATGGCAAAAAGAAGTTTGGATTTTTTAAATAGTCTTTCAAGCGGCGGCGGGACATTACGTTTGTATTCACTTTCACATAAATTTATATTTTCTTCATTATTGATACCAGCTAGAGGTGGTAACATACATTAAAAAACGATAATGCTGTCTTCTTTTTGTAGGTACCGAAGTATTTAAACAATGCAAAAGTAATAAAATCGTATTGTATAACAATGTTATAATAAATTTGCCATTTATTTAAAATGAACTCGTTTCTAAACCGGCAATTTTTAATGTTCCATTAATGCTTCTTATACCTGTACCTGGGTTGCAAAACCTGATAAGCAGTAAAAAAATGTTTACTAAACAAATTTCTTTCAAGTCTCATTGGTTTTTAAAGTGCAAATGTAGTTTTTTGGTCTCACCTGCATAGGGCGGTTGCAATGTTTTCGATTTTAATTTTCTTTGTTGGCTTTCACAATGTGATTTGTCACATGCCGATGGAATTTCGAAAATATATTGAGTCAAAACTAATTATGCATAAAGAAGACTACCCATTATTCAAACAACCGTTGAGAAATAGCTTAAAAAGCATTTTTGTAAAAGTACCACTACGGAGAAAGTTTACAACGAACACCAATATACCTCCCACTATTACCGATAAGCAAGTTTATGTGGATAAAACCATACACTATTTGATATCAACTAAACATCCTAAATATTCTGTTGTGAGTGCTTTTGAGGAAGATTTTCATAATCTGCTTGGGATGAAAGGCTTCAAATATATTTATAAAAGAGGTAAGTTATGGAGAACTTGGAGAGAAGTGGAAGATGAGTCGTTGAAGAAGAAGAAGATACTTATATACAGAGCTGAAAATAATGAGGATCGGACTTGTGCAGAATGTCACAATCGAGGTTATTGGGTACGTTGATTTTTATTGTTGCATTTAAAAAAACGTTTCTTCTTAAAATCTGAAATACTGTAAGTCGATGCTAAGTAAAACGAGTTAAGCCGGTTAGGGACGGGACGAAATAATTTCCCGTGGTCCACCCAGGTGGCCCAGAAAGGTGGTCCACGGGCAAGAAGGGATTTTCAGATTATCGATTAGCTTGAATTATTAAATTTAGTTCGTTGGATTTAGTTCATTTGTTCCGATACTGCCAGCCAGAATTTTCGTTTCGATTTCGATGGCTGCGCCGAGGCCTTCGTTAAATTTGCCAGAGAGTAAGGTACCGGCGGGTAATAAGGCGTAGCAAAGGGATATTTGAAATAAAACGAAAATTATTGTAAATCAATATATTTTACAAAAAATCAGTCTTATAGATTCATTAAAACAATATATTAACTTAAAATGGCATCTTTCAGAAGATGGTAGCATAAATAAAATCAAAATTAAACATTAAAAATAACCATGCCAGTACGCCTTAATTTACTATAGTAGGGTTAAAAGGCATATTGGTTTAACGTACGATATACTCGAAATAGACACTAAATTCAATACTTGGGATCAATAATCAAATAAATGCAGTAATTTAACTTACGATATTTGCAACAAAGTACTTCAACACGTTTCAAATGCGATTTTTGTTACTTAGGCCTTATAAATCGACAGGACTTATACCGCGGGTTTTTTAGCCAAACTTTCAGTATTTTATTGCCCACGGTCATTGACTTACAAATAAATGGACGACGGGTCTAATACAAAAACCACGAAAAAATGTCCCAAGTCAACCTATGTAAACGTAGTGACATGTAAAGGAATATGAAAAAGCTAAAACGCTGAATTCAAATTGTAATGTCATCGCAGTACTGTCTAATTTTGCTTGCTTCGATGTCAGGAGAAACAAACGAAGACTAAAGCGTGAATGACGCTCTGTATACGATTTTAACGCCCTATAAGTTCGGACACTTTGAGCGCGGACCCGACGTCCATATAATTGTAAGTCAATGTCCACGGTTCGATAAGTGTGATCAGGTGGATATTACATACGTTACATAATCAGTATCGCCTTAAAACATATTGTTATTCTAATACTTATTTTTATTTTATATTGTAATGTTTTTACTACCAACATATCCATCTATTTTTTTTAACCGACTTCAAAAAAAGAACCTCCTCCGGTTCTCACTTCGACTGTATGTTTTTTTTTGTATGTATGTTACGCGAAAACTCTGGTATTTAGACAGGGCGGAGATTATTATTATTATTATATATATAAAGCTACAAGTTTTTAGTCACTGATAGAAATAGAACGCATACTTCCCGATTTGGTGGAAAAAAGATATTTATACCGTTGTACGCGGATAGGCTCTAAAGCAAACAATCAAATATGAGGACCTGAATATGGAAAATATGAAAGAGTGATCAACGGCCTGCAAAAACTATAATAAATTGCGGGGATTTTTGTGCATTTTTATGAGATACAACTGGTCAATTTCCGCGGGAAGTAAAAAATGTTCGAAATTCAAATAAACAATATGGCCCCCATACAAATATCAAAGCCTCCTATCACGGAAACTATTAGAGATAGGTAGGAGGTGCTCGAAGGAATGTCATAGAGGGTAGCACTGGTCAACTGCCTGGGTTAAAAAAATTCAAGATGGCGATTTCAAAATGGCGGCCGAAGAAAAAGTTTGCGTCGATCCGGCTGAAAATTGGCATGCGAGGGTCTTTAGGAGTCCTTAATCATAATTTGGGGTCAAAAATTTCTTTTCGCCATTTTTTAATATAGCTGCCATAAATTTTATTTTTTCGTTTAAAATAGCTGTCGAAAGAGATTTGCTCTGATTCGACTGAAAATTGGCATGTGAAGGCCACTAGAAATACCGGATAATAATTTGTGCTCAAAATTTGTTTTTCACTATTTTCAAATATGGCCGTCATAGAAGCGTTCGTTGGTGGCAGAAAAAAATTGCTCTCTAGGAGTCTCTAAAAAATTGCTCTCTAGGAGTGCTTGATAATAATTTGTGATCAAAATTGGTTTTTCGCCATTTTTAAATATGGCCGCCATACAAACTCTTATAGCGGTAGATAAAAATTTGCACTAATTCGATTGAAAATGGACATGTCGGGGTCTTTACGAGTGTTTAATAATAATTAGCAGTTAAAATTGATTTTTCACCGCGGAGGGCGAAGCCCTAAGCGTCCGCACGCCTTCGTATGGAGGTAATTATATACGGGGGCGTAATAGATTACGAGTACAAGATCTCACAATTGTAAAAATGTAAGGCATACTTCCCGATGTAGTGGAAATGAGATACTTATTATAGCGTTGTTGTATCTTAACCATATCTCTTCGATTCCATTTTCTTGAAAGCTATGCCAAAGAGAAGTGTTTAGGGGGAAAAAAATGCCAAACTACTGCCGAATTTCCTGTACTATGAATACCAAAACAAAGATAATCCAGAACACTCAAACCAAAACCAACTTAGAAATGTTCGTTTCTTAAATTGGCCCAAATCGGGAATCGACCTCCTCATCAAGCGCCCATAGTACTAACTGCTGTGCCACCGAAGAGCATGAGCACATCCCGTAAACTGAACCCGACCACGCGCCGCAGGACGAGCCCGACCCCACCCTAGGTGGGGTACAGGGCTCGTATATTTATATTATTGAAATTTGTGACAATGTTTAGCCCTTGAAAACTTTGATTCTTGAAAGTCTGTACAAGTCTATTACAACACTTTTTAAAAGCGTGCTTTAAAAAATTCAGCTAGATATGTTTTAAGGTCGGAGTGACCGTATCGCCTTAGCGTACAATTCTCATCGTCACTTTTTTACAATACTTAGGTAGGTATATAATTTTTTTATTAGATCTAGGTACATTTTCATACTAGAAAATTTACTACAATGTTTTATGCATTGAATAAATACATTTTTAGTTTGATGTGTAGATTATATCTTCGTGAATTACACGTATTCGCTAATGTTTATTTTCCATAATAAAATTGTTATGTTATCAGTTGTAACGTTCATTCCAGTCATTCCCAACTCTAATATATTTACGTTTAATAATCTTTCTCAGGCTTTAGAAGTGGAGCCAGTGCAATGCCCTTACGAAATATTTTCAATGAAGAATGCGAATAATGTGTGCGTAACAGATGTTAAGCATTTTGCCAAAGGTAAACAATGCACGAAGTATACCAGGTTAAAAACCTTGAAGAACAATTGCAATAATCCTATAATTACAAAATGGCGATTTACCAAAACATATGACATTCTTGAACGAAATCTGCCAGAGTCGAGCGCGATATGTCAAGGGCGGGAAAAATGCGAAGTTACGACTATCTATCAGGTAAATAATCAATAAATATATAAGTTCGTGTTTATATAGGATGATAAAAAATCACTGGTCATATTTTTAACTTATTTATTTGTTAAGTGTATGTATTTTTTATTTCCGTAATGCAGTATGCTCCTTTAAAATGGTCAGTGGTTTTTTTATCACCCTGTATGTAACTATGAGATAAATAAGCCATTTTCATTATTATTTTAGAATTAAATCTTAGAACCCAATTCATTCATTACTAAATTTGCTTTTTATGGTCTATTTGGAATGTTGAGAACAAAATTATTCTTATTTTGTTCTCAACATATATAAGTATATAAGCTAAGTAAAAGTACATAAAAATGGCATTTAACCTCAAACTCCAATCATTTCTTTGGCTTCCACTCCTCTATTTAGATTTATTTTAGAAAATAATATATAAGTATAGAATATTTATACTATTTTTTAATTTACATCTCATAGTTCCTGTCTCTATCTCCACCGGCCTAATCTCGTTTTCAAATTTCCTTTTTAATAATAACGGACACACACATAACCCCTCAATAAGGAAACCCCGTGTCGTCAGTGCAATGGATGCACAAATAATAGACAACCACAAATTCTCTCTAATCTAGGGTCGGCGAACTAAAGCACATAGTAAAAAAACCAACATCATTCATTTAAATTGGGTCCGTTCGTTATGCCGGTTTCTTTTGCCACCCTTTTGTTTACACTCGATTCAGGGGTTCTACTCTGTCCGACATCCGTCCAAAATATTGTCAAATAAGTAGTACACGAACAAATTAAAACACGCATGATGCAAATGAAGCTTCATACTTGACATTGTTTTTTAACTTGGTCGAGTATTAGGTACTTATTTGACAGTAATTGTTTCGGATAGATGGAGGACGAGAGTAGATGCCCCAAAGGTTAATTAGGATAAATGTAACTCAAAGCAAAATGTAAGCCATACAAATGTTCCTCCCAGCCCGGGCATCGGACCCGGGTCTCCTGCGTACAGCATGGTAACTAGGCTTGTATAGTTCATGAACTACGAACTATTAGGAATATATTCCCGACACTGACCGACATGAACTAGTTCATCTTGCACGGTTTTAATAGTTCATCGTTCTTTTAAGTTCAGCACGAATTAGGAACTGCCCGCCTTGATGGTTCACCTGTCTTTTATTCAGTAGGAACGGTGCGAGCGGGACAAATAGCGATCTTTCACTACTTTTAGAACAAGTTCGAGTGGGATGCACGATTGAAAGGTGCCAGCTCGTTCTAAGTCTCTAATACATATCTACATTATGTATACAAGCTTGTAAAAAGTAAGTGCTCATATTTTTTGGTAGGTATGTATAATATCAACCTACGTGAACGAGTATATGAAATAGTTGTACCTAAATATAGATTTTTAAACACAACATTCTAACTAAAATTCTTATTAAAAAGAAGGATATTAGTTAGAATGAGTCTTTAAACCTGTAAAATATGAAGGAAAATCAAAATGGTGCCGATTCCATACTAATTGTATTTTTAAATATTTAGTACAGTGTACTATTACAATCCTAAAAGTACCTCACAATACTACAAGACCGTAGTAGTTCAAGTGAATAAAATTACTAGTTTAGAGCGTTCATTCATTGTCCGAGCAAGGACAAGACGAACTAACTAACTAAGGAACTAGAAGACCGACCTAGTTCAGTTGACCGACTGAACTAACTAGGATCGCTCCCTGTAAGGACCGATCAGGCACAAGTCTAATGGTAACCGTTCGGCCTTGGAATAGTGTTGAGTTACTCATGCACGATGCAATTCGTTTGTACCACTCGCTTGGTTTGTTTGTCGCAACACCTCATGTCATACAAATGTTCCACCTCACCTAATGTCACACTGCTTCGAATTCAACAAATGCAATAATGATTGGTCCTGCACTTCCCGCTTTTTAGCTGATTTTACATCATATGATCATGCTATCATAGTACGAAATAAAATTGGTATTTATTTATACTACATCATAATACTTAAGTTATCCAATTGACTGATACTATCAAATTACGAAAATGTGCTTAATATTCCCTGTCTGTTGAGTTATTGCCATAGGTGCAAACATTCTTACCACTACCTCACCTCATTTGAAGTAGGACATTGTACCGCCTCATTTTTTTTAATGGTGCTCCCTCAAACGCATTTTAATTTTATGTCCTACCCAACACTATCTTGGAAGCATTTCACTTACAAGTTTCCCCGTTTAAGTGACAAAAGTCTAAAACTTTGTAAGTGGCTGAAACACTAACCGCCACAAACCGGAAACAAAAAATAATTAAAATAAATCGATTTTTTTAAATTTTGTATGAATGATGATGATTTTATATCCCTCCCTTCACACCTAATTCAAAAAACATTCATACCTAACTCTCTCGTCACATCCTTTCCACCTTATGACATGTCCATACCACTCTACTGGCGAGTTACTAACCTGCATTACGAAACAACAACCCTTTTGGGAATCGCATACTGTTCGGGGTGCTACACCGTCAATAATATACAAAGTCCTCGTCAGTCGTGTCAGTGGTGCCCTGTTTAGTAGGCTAGTTCTCCAGCGAGATCCCCAACAACTGAAGCCGGCGCTAGCACTCCAAATACCTATCGGGAACGCAAAGTGTAGACAATCCACATACACTACAATATTCAGTCAAATAAAAATATTATAACAAGCGACGAAGGTATGAACAATGTCGTGCGCCTGATGGTAAGCCACAAGCGGTTACGTATCAGGAATCGCAATGACATTTTCCAGAAATAACGTTTGCTTGAATTTTCATAACCTCGAAAGTATTTTGAGAGGAAAATGTTTTTTTCTTTTAAACCTAACCAAACCGAACCTAATCGTGTCTTTGCGATAAACATCCAACATATCCTGAAAGAACAACGGTTTCGTTATAATTCGGTGTAATGAAAATTCGTTATTTCGGAAAAAAGATTCGAGTTTGTTTTGTGGTTACCGCCACACGTCAACCTGAAAACAAAAATATAATAATCGTTTTTTTTTCACATTATTCCAGTTCCAACCCCATCAAATAATATTCCGCGTAGTGGACGAAAAAAATTTAATAATTTATTCAAGGGTAATGAGAAAGAACGAGAAAAACTTCGCTTGCGTAGACAATTGTGGTTATTTCGATATTGACAACATGTTAGTCCAAAAGACACCAGTAACTATTTCAAAAAAACTCAATGCTGTTAAAGATCATCATACCTACGAGCAAAGTACTTGCAACTCTCCTAATGAAGAAACCACACAAAAACTTCAATTCATAGAAGAACAACCTATAATAAATTGGAAATCACACGAGTTTAAATTTAATAATACAGTAAATCAAAGATACGTAAGTGCAACTAAACAGGCGAGCGAACCTGTCACTAATGATAATAAAGAAATACCTATAGCAAGATCTGGCCGTAGAGTTAGTATAAATAGTGACATAAATAATAATTTCCTGGATGATATTACCAAAGTTGATTGTACAACAAAATTGCAATGCAGGAATATTATTAAAGATGGCGATTGTTATGATGATGACAGTGGTAACGCTTATTACAATGATGATGAGGAAAAGGAAATAAATATTGATAATTACTAAATATTTTTTGGAGACTCGTCACGATTTCTCCTAATTGAGAGTCATGTAGACTCTGCATAACCAAAGCTCCACATAATTTTCATTACTGCCGAACGGAATGGAAGCCAATTATTGTAGTCGTAGCATAATGAACCAATTACGTGTATGATACAAACTGTAAGATATTATGTAACGTGTCCAATCTTTCCATACTTCGCCCGCTGTCCCCAAAATACTTAAATGTGTCCCGCATTGTGACAATAAAAACGTCCCAAACTAGGAAATTCCCTGTACCTATCTTCTATGACTGTTAGAGCAACGGAATTTACTCTGGGACACTTCGCAGAACACAATCAGACCACACAGACTAGAACCAATTTAGAAAAGTCCATTTCCCAAATTGGTGCTACCGGGAATCGAACCCGGAACCTCCGCATCTAACGCCCACCGACCTCGGTGGCCTAACGGTTTATGTTTATATATGGCACGAAAGCGGTAATATTTCTAAAGCCAGCCCACCAGTAGGGCTAGCACGACCCGAGAGAGCTCTATTCGAGGTGTCGCTCTCGCGCAAGTCGCGCCCTGTTTTCTTTTTTATTATTATTAAACATTTCGTAACATCATAAACATGCGTTTTATTTTTGAAACAATTGCAGGCGTCCCGCACTAGATGAAAAATGGCAGTTTGGATGGCCGTTTATTGGTGGTCATCATCGTTATAGTATTTAATCAGAAATAGAGACGAAATATAATTTAATTTCTTTGAAAAGTATTCTGGCAAATCATTACGGTGACAACTGCGTCCGATTGGCCAGCCCGAATTCGAAACAATTGATGGGTGTCGTCAATTGCTTCACTTCAATTCGACCAGTTTACTAGAGCTTTGCCATAATGGACGAATATTGAAAAATTACATACCTATTTAATTACCGATGAAAAGTGATTTCGTTTGTTTTGTAATTAGATGTTTTGCTGTTTTTCCCACACCACCGAATTGAACAGCCCCCCCATTGTTAGAGATATTATCTTTATTACAATAAATACAGAATATTTTGGGAATATACGGAGACGTACACACAGGTCAGTTGTAGGCGCTGTATTATTTCAGCTTTCTAATTTGTTATTTCAGTGCAAATGAGAGTTGATATTTAAAAGTGCTTTAAAGCCCGTTTGCCTGTTGAGTTGCCAGGGATGGATGGCCTTTGTTTCGTCACTGTTTCTCGTTACATACTCGATGGTGGTCATACTGTAATTTAATCAATAGAATTAATGTATTAAAATTATCATAATTTAAAAATTTATAGCTTGTCATACCAATAAGAGTTGTTTCTATTGGTGGTCATATTAGGCAGCATTAACATATATGGCAGTGTTATAAAAATGGAGACTTTTATATGAAGCTGTCGTAAAGTTACCTTATACATAAAAAAATAATTTAATATAGGATAATTTAAGAAAAAAAACTTCAAATATTAAACGTTTAATACATACGTGCAAGAACCTATACACTAAATATAACCATACTATATAGCCTGCGTTATAAAAATATTCTAACAATGAGTGTAAGATCTATTTGTAACAATGCTTTCGTAATTTTTTGTTATAAATTCTAAGGCACCAAAAGAACAGTCTTGAGTTCTTATACAATAGAAAATACGGAGATTACCACTATATTAAGCCGGACATCCAATAGCGAGCTGTAACCGTAACCGTTCCATGTTATGTAACCAAAAATTATAGTGTGTACGCGGTTCGCTAGTTTCTGATTGACGACTGTTTCAAGAGTACAAACTAGAAACTCGTTACTGTATCTGTCACGTTACAGTTTGAGATCGCTAATGAGTATGGCTTTAGAAGCCATATCACACAATCAAATGCCAGCAAAAATGTTTAAAATCTAGTATTCATTCCTGTATTTTCGTAAATACTGTACAAAAAATGTGATTCCGGTAATAAATGCGGGGCTATATTACTGAAATCATAAACAATAACTTTTTCACCCCATAGAGAGGTTTTCTTTCTCATTAGATATCTGCGCGCAAAGCGTTTTTTTTGAAATTCGAACTTGATGATGGACTGTGGTGCACCTTACTTTTTCTTTCGATGAAAAAAAAAAGATAATGACACGTTCCACTACGCGATTTATCGTACGTCACTTATTTGTGTAATATAAATCTGTTGGTATATTTTATTCTCATCATGGTTGACATTAAATTAACAATGATAACTAATTGTGTTTAACTTATTTTAATTCGTCGAAGAACTAAAATAATTTCAATAATTACTTAGTCACACAAGATAAAAGTACAGCAAGACTAAAAATTGATGAGGTGCAAATTTAGAACGCATCCGAAGATATTTTTTCTTTTGATTAATTAATAAAACTGATGTATCTTAGTTTAACTGTTTTTCTTTCATCTACCATTTTCCTCGCTATGAGGTGAAATGTTGTGTGTTTGCTCGGCAGCAAAGTTGTTTTGCCTCTTGTGCCTAGAAACCCTTGCTACCCTCAGGATTCTAATCTTAACATCCGTCTCTTGCCCAGGTTTCAATACAAGCACGCGCCAAACAACAACTTTGCAGCCTTGGATAACAAATAACTATAGTCGCCCAAATTACAGACCCTAACTCGTTAACTCTTCTTCAAAGAAGCAGTGATAATAAACTTTTCAGTCAACAAATTACTTCTTTTTCTATAAAATGATATAGCGTCAAAGGAAAACATCGTCCGAATTGATGACAAAAGACGTTAAAACCTACAAGTTAATACACAGGGCGTCTACGGCTATTCCACACGGAGGGAAAGTACTTTAAATAACGTAGATAGAAAATTTTACTTATAGAAGACTTCATTTTGACTTTAAAAAGAATGCGAACGGCATTCAAAGATTTTAAATAATCGCCTTGTCCAAAATCGGAATGCAATAATGTTCACATTACTGCTTGGTGGCAGCAATAGGTAAGGTGGTAGTACTTTCCTGGACGAGCTCCTTCACAGGCTCTACTGCTACCATCGAGTATATAACCAGAAATAGAGACGAAATAAGGGTCATACATTCCTGGTAACTCATCAGTGATATATCACTTATAAATATCACCCTCGTTTGCACTGAAATATAGACAGCGCCAGCAACTGACCTGTGTGTAATAAAGATAAATATCTCTAACAACGGCGTGCTGTTCCATTCGGTGGTGTGGGGAACAACAGTAAAACATCTAATTACAAAACAAACGGAATAAAATTTCATCGGTAATTAAATTTAAATATGTAATTTTTCAATTTTCGCCCATTACAGCAAAGCTAAGTTAACTGGTCAATTTAAGTGAAACAATTGATGACACCCATTGACGACACTCGTCAATTGTTTCGAACTTGGGCTAGCCAATCGGAGTACAGTTGTCACAGTAATTATATAGCAGAATAGTTTTCAAACAAATTAAATGACATGTCGTCTCTATTTCTGGTTATATACTCGATGACTGCTACTAAAGTTTGAAGGTTCGATAATGGATCGAACTAACGTAACAATAGTGAAAAAAAGAAAAATTCGAGAACGATTAAATTTTTAAAAAGAGGAAGATAAATTGGATCGACGATGAAGAAGGTTACCATCGTCACACATTACATCGTTCAAATATAACCAAAAATCGTACAATGCTATGCGAGTCCAATTTAATAATGCATTCAGGGCACTGTTGCAGCGCCCGCGCTTTTGCAGCGCTTCGGGCATGTTCGCAGATGCGCGTGTGGACGGCTTTGATGCAATCTGGCGAAAGAAAACTGCCTCGCTGTTGAACAGAATGCGCGGGTGCTGTAACGGCATCCTGAAAGCGATAGCTGATAGACCTGATTGCCCGATGATGTATATAGTCGTACAGCGGCATTTTATTGTTAGTTGTTAAGAATTAATCTAGTATAAGCTCTACTAACATTAAAATTGACCTTAAATGTTGTCTGAAGTACATAAATTATTATTATTACTTTGTATTGGGTTTTTTTTTCATATAAATTTAATATTATTATTTCTTGTGATGTTATGTTTTATAAGAAAAATATAATATAGATTATACTACTTAAGGCGACTTCAAATTAAACGTTCTTAGAAGAGCTGCAGTGGCGCGTCTGTAGCGCTTCAAAAATATTTAGTTAATAATACCTAATAACGCACTCACTCAATATCCCCGCACTAGGGAAACCCTGAGTCGCGGGTGCCTTGGACGCACACATAGACAACCACAAGTTACTCCCAAAATCACAAAAGAATTAAATGTAGGTACAAATATTTCTCCTCTCTGCCTCTGGTTGGCAGTTCGGCATGGTAACCGTCTCCGGCCAAGGAGGCAGATAATTACAGTTCACTAATTGTTACTGCAATAATGGCACGCGCGTGTCACGACAGTAGCGTTGCAACTGCGCTTTTACATATTGTAAAAGTGGGTGATAAATAACTTCACGTTGAAAAAATCACAATGATCAGCCGTCATATAGTATCACCGTGACTTTTTACGAAGGAACTAACGTTCCAAAATCACAAAGGTTGTACCTCCGTTCCACTAACTGTCTCTATCACTCACATCACGACATACTACGTATTTTACAAACAAAATCATGCGCGATCTACGTTCTGTAGAAACTAGCGACTCCGTAATTCATTGTAGTTCGCTTTTATTTTTAAATTCTAATTATGAACCAAAAAATAATTCGATCGTAAATATTGTAAACGCAATAAGCCGCGTGGTCTTATTAACGAATAATGCAACAGTCCTAATCCTGTAAAACTGTGAAGGTTAGGTAATGCGGATCACCTTTAAAGTGACTTCAAAGTGAGTAATAAATAATAATAACGACTTTGAGAAAGTAGCCGCTTACCAAATAGATTATTCAATCTATGGCATGGCTTAAAGACGAAAATTATTACACATTGACCGATTTTTTAAATAAACATTGATATTATAATATTATTTGTTTGACTTTCATAATTTTTGCTATTATTTAAATTGACTATGTATTGAAATAAAATTAGAACTTTAAGGATGTTTTGTGCATGTGTAGACATGACATTATTTGTAATCTAATCAATTAATTCAATCACTATAAATATCATTTTCCATGCCAGAGATGTGGTAAAATATGAGCTGTATCTCTCTATTGTGTTCCATCTCTTGTTCACCGTTTATCGTGATGTAAGTGACAGGCGTGGCAAAATCACGATGATTTGTCACTGTGATTTTTTTTGTAACTGGTACGATAGTGCCGGTAATAGAAATGTAACACCCCATCTCTAAAATATTGTATGAAAATTAGGATTGGCGCCACTGTAGCGCAAGCATCTAATTTGAAGGCGCCCTTAGTGGCTATAGACTTAAAAGTTACAACGTTAGCACCACAACTGATTTAAAAATACATATTATAAAAAATAGGCTAAGCATTTAAGTCCGGAAGACAAGTTTTGGCAACCTAGTTTTGCTATTTATAATAGTTTTTGTCGTAAAACAAAATGTTTCGTATTTACTTGGCAGAAGTTATTTTTAGATATTTGCAATTACGTTTGATATTAAGATGACAGAGAAAAAGAGAAAGCGAGTGCAATTGTCTCAAATAACCTTCAGCGAGTTGAACGTTTCTTTTTCTACGAAATAATGGCCTTACGAGT